TATATATATATATATATATACACATGTACAAAAAGATTAATATAACAAAAGAATATAACAAAAGAATATTTGTAACGCAATGCAGTCCAATGAAACAATTTATTAACAATTATAACAATAATAGTAATAAAATACGTAATAATCTAAATAATTGTTTTTTTGCTCACCGTTTTGACAGTGGATCGAGTTCCAAATGATCGTAACACACGAGGCGTGACATATTCGTATAATTCAGGACGTGTTTATGTTGCAAAAATTTTGAATTCGTAATTTGCAACATATGATATCAATTAACTATTATGTCCGCACGTGATCACTCCGAACGGAATACTAATTATCTCGCGTTCGCTGTACACCCTAATAACAGACAAACGTGACGGAGATATTAATGATAATATAGCAAATGCTCTCTTTTTCTTTTTTTTTTCTTCCCTCGTGGCAAAGAGATATAATTTTTAATAAAGATATATGCAGAGAGTAAAAGAGAAAAAGAGCGAGAGAGGAGCACACGTGTATGGAGAACTTTTCGTTTCCGTTTTGATTTCATTATTTCTGCATATGTTTGAGATACATACTCCACCATTGTTTATAGCCATGGAATTAATAATCTATGAAAATTAGTTAAAGTTTGTTAATACTCACGTGTAATAGAGAAATCCTCCGTTGTAATCCTTCTGCCCGTCCTACTGAATTATACATTTTGAAATTTGTTTCTTAATTAGTTCGACAATTGTTACGAAACTTTAGTTATCAGCAATATCTCGCGGGCTTGTTTGTCATAGGTCGATCTATCCGAGAAACCATCGTTTTGGAAGGCTCTTAAGCCGCCGGCTAAAGATAAATGCGGAGAACTCTTGTGCTCGCTGTGCTATCATCCGAGTAATTCCATATTGACGTTGACTCTCTTGAAGGCGAGGAATCTCAAAGCTAAGGATATCAACGGAAAATCAGGTAATGTTACGTTCGCCGTATTGTGTTCATGCATCTTCCGGTACGGTAAATCGCGGCATTCGAAAAACACTTTTGAAAAATTACACACAATCATACATTTTATTAAACACATGCACAACTTTTTCAAATTTAAATTTCAAAAAGTATTGTATTCTGCGCTGTGTATAGTAATAATATCCTTTCTCGAGCCAAACCACATTAAAGTATCACGTAACTTGCACAACAACGTGTTTTGTTATACCTTTCTATAATCGAGATAGTGAGAAATTAAACAGTCAATTAAACATTAATTTGCAATTCCAGATCCGTACGTCAAGGTGTGGCTACAGTTTGGCGACAAGAGGATCGAGAAACGCAAGACTCCTATTTTCAAATGCACCTTGAATCCAGTATTTAACGAGGTATTCTCCTTTAATGTACCTTGGGAGAAGATCAGAGAATGCTCTTTGGATGTAATGGTGATGGATTTCGACAACATTGGACGAAACGAACTGATCGGTCGAATTCAGCTCGCAGGTATTTTAAACTTTTCGCTAACGCATCTTTAAATGCAAAATTCTACGTCACAATTCTTTCGATATGTTAAGAAACTTTTTAATTATAATTGATGAAGACAGATACGCTTAATTTCATAATATTAGAAGCTTGTCCTTTTGATTTTATTATCTCTGAATGTGCACCGCGGTTATCACACGTATTGGAAAATAGGCTGAAAATTTGAACATAATAATATTTAATAGCAATACAATAAGTAAGACAGCTAATGAGCTGGTTTGTCATACTAATATAATTTAATAATTAATATCTTTTTAAAAATTATCAGTCTTTTAGAAGAGATTGTCAGGAATCGAGTTACGTAGTACATACTTATTAGATACGGATTGACTCGGAACCAATCGGAATTTCAATAGCTGCACATAACATTTTATTCGACACTTTAACGTTCGAAATTCCAAGTCTCTTTTGCGCCACAAAGTAACGAACCTTTCAGCGCGTATAGTAACCGTAATCAAGTAACGGTAATCAAACGTCATAGAAAGCAGATATCAGACTGAAATTGGAGCCCAGTGTACAGTGTACGACGTAACTTCCTTTCCAGGAAAAAATGGAAGTGGCGCGAGCGAAACGAAACATTGGCAGGACATGATCACGAAGCCGAGGCAGACAATTGTGCAGTGGCATCGCCTGAAGCCCGAGTAAAAGGACACGCTCATCCTGATCGACGACAAACGATATTCCGTCGGGTGGGTTCCTCCCCTCCCCTTCCCCCCAATTCCCCCCCCCCCTCCCCACGCGGCACGTCGCCCGTCAAAGTTGTGTTAACGAGACAACTCTTTTTTCTCTCTCTTCTTCTGCTCGATATTCTCCGCAACCCGATCTCGACGAGAGTAACCCCGTACCGTACCCTTCGACGACTGTACAATATTATTATCCCCCGCCGTATCGCGCGGGGCGCTCTTAGCGACGCTGGTCCGTCGAGGAGCGGAGTGCCGATCACGTGTTAATCGCGATTAGGGATCCGAGGCGTTCTCTCGTTGTCGCCCGTGTTGCTGTCGCGCCATCGTCGCGTGCGACTAACGAGCGACGAGTCCGCGACGAATCCGTCGTTATCGTTGGTATACAACGGCGAACTCATCGAGCGTTTCGGGCCGTGCGATCGAGCGTTCTGAACGCGTCGTTCGATACGACCCCGGGTCGGGGCATTATAGGGGCGATAAGAGCCGGCGACGGCGGTGATGCGTCGACATCTTGCAGAAATTAATTGTCGCGTCGGCAAGGCGGCCAGTCTCCGCGTCCGCGAGAGGAGGGACGGCGAACGGCTACGGAGGAGACTTTAGTCTTCCGTCGTGGCGAAATCGGGCAGCCTATATATACGGGCACGTCAGGTATCCGTTCATCTAATTTTCACCCTCTTCTTCTCCTCCCTTCCCCCCTCCCCTTTCCCTCCCTTCCCCCATCTTCTTGTCCGTGTCCGCCTCGTTACCGCCCGGTGCGGTGTTTACGCGACACGGGATCTGCGAAAATTATTATACCGCCGGGTAAAATCGGTCGTTCGTTCCCAGTACGAACGACGCCCCCGAGCGTTCGCTCGCCAGTTATATACGCGCGAACGTTCGTTCAACTTCTTCAGTCGCGTTTAAAACATCCCGTATAGGTGTGTTTCGCGGGGCTTTTGTATCGGTTGAGTCTACATATGCGCGCGCTCGAAATCCGGGATACATTAAATACCGGGGAACATTAAAATCAAAGGGGCAAGTGGACGGACGAGATACGCGTCGCATTCTTCTGCAAAGGAAGAGTGATATTTTTATGGATAAAAATTCGCTAATTTAAAAATTATCACTGCAGCGACTGTCAGTCTAAGTCGTAGCGATGACTCTTGTTGAAACTCGTTCGTGGGCATCTGCGTGCAGCATGAAATTTACCGCGCTACTGCGACGATTGACTATAGGAGATTAAAGCCGATAAAACAATACGATCGACATGCTACGTATCGTCTCCGTTTACTTGCCCCTTCAAACTGTCTAACTAGAGGGAATTACATCTCAAGAGGACGGCGAACTTGGACTGCAAAGCCGACGAGCTTTCTTAAACAAATGAAAATACCACTTCAGCGTAATGGCGACGTTACAAATTTGCATTCAAGACGTTTATATTTCTATTAGACGTTATTGTTATGTATTAAGATATATTGCGTGACCAGGATCTATTGATACCGTAAGACTTATCGTTATATAACCTGATCTTCGTTATAGGAGTTAAAAATTTCGTACAAACATGCTATAACAAACGACGACAAAACGAATTTGCACGTCTGCTTTATTTAAATATAATTTGCTTGCACCTTTGCAACTGCGTTTCCTCAACGTTGTATCTACGAAAAATTTTCCTGAAGTTTGCTCCTACTCTGGGGAAACATTCCTCCAACAAAACTTCCTAATGACACATTTTTAGGTACGATTGTTTAAAAAAATTACCACCACATACGTGCGTGCATAATTAAATTAAGAAAATTTAAATTTTTTACATATTGTTTCAGACATTGAAAAACAATTCTAAAAGCGCACGACTCTAACTTGTGACAATACAGATTTTATAAAATTTTAAAACACTGAAATGGTTACCCCTGATTTGTATAAATGCAAACATTTACGAAAATTTCACGAATTTTTCAGCGTTATTCTAAATTTTTTCAATACTTTAACTTTGGCATTTCCGATTGTTATAGTTTTCAAAAGATTTGAATGTACTATTAATATCACTCATCAATATTGCCATTGTGATGACTACAAACAGTCAAAGTGACATTTTCCTACAACTTTATGCGGGAAGATTTAAAGAACAGTGTCCAATCCCCCCGACTGCCCAAGGGGGACTGCCCACTCTCTCCTGTACACGTAGATAGATGTAACATTTTTAATATCTTTTTTTTCAAGACTTACAGAATTTTTCTTCTTTTAATATGAATTACTTTTAAATAATTTCGGGGAGTCGTTGCGCATTGAATAAACATACGTTCGTTTCGGCTGTACCTAAAAAGATGTCAGAGATAAAGTAGCCCTCGCAATTGCATCGAGACCTACATCCAATGTGGCTTTTAGAATTACTTTGCTAACAAAGTTTCGGAACTGAGCGCAACCCTGTCGGAACAACCTTGCTTACAGGCATATAATCGTGTGTACAGGCGATCACTTTTAGGGACAATCCGATTTTAGTGGATTTTAGAAGTTAACTTTGGCTGCAGATTTCCTTTGGCTTTACGTGCAATATCTCTTCTTTTTTCTGCTGATTTCCCACGAAGATTCGTGCGACGATTATTAAGTTTCGACGTATATACATGCAATTGTTAAAATAGATCGCCAGATCCGCAGAGAACACTCGGACGCTGGCGAAGAATACAGGATACTACAAGTAGTTTCCCACGTGATGTTTGTGATGTAGGATGCTTCGAGACTGCAGCGGAGAACCGGGCGAAATAATAAGTAATAACTCTGTTACTCAATCAGAGCGCGCCCCTCCCAACAGGGGCGAAACGTTTCGAGATAGTTCGTAGGAGACAAGCGATATCCTCGTAGGGATGGGCATTATAATTAGTCGCTAATCAGTTCTACACCGATTATCACGGACGACCGGTCACATTAATCGTGAAGTGTACTTGAAACACGTAAAAATCTAACAGGCATTCGAAAAGGCGGTCTAATTTGAATTAATACTCGAAAGATGAATGAAGACAAATAAAAACGACAAAAACTAAACGCTCGTAGCTTTCGTGCGGGCATTTTGTATTCACGAAATTTTAGACCTTCACTCGGCTGGAACGGTAGTTGAGCAGCAACTGTTAACATGTTTGGTATACACATTACCACTAGATTCAACGAATTAATTCGATTGCTTCTGAACTGCTGTTCAACTATTGACTCTGCGATAGTTCATTCGGTACGCGGAGTTTGGGGAGAGTTATTTCTGTGCAACGTCAGTATCCCAGCACGGAGGTTAATTGAGAAAAATAATCAAGCAACTCTGATTAAGGAGAACTTAAGAAATTATAGTTTGTCGATACGATTTGATCGCGGTTTCGCCCGTCCCTACATACCCAGCTGTTAGTTACGCTTTTGGCTAGCGTTGCTCGCGATATATCCGGGCAACACACCCTTTCACACGAATTTCCCACTCGCGCGACTCCTGATTACGTACTAAAAAGCCCGGTAAAAGGGAGAGATATTTTTGACGGCACTTTTGTATTGATAAAGTCAGGGCGATTCCTTGGAAATATTCACGCGCCGAAGTGCGACCGGTGTACCTCACGTATCCGGGGGGAAGAAAGGAAATAATGTTACGTTATATACCTGATAGTCTGCTGTTGTTAACAATAATATAGAAACACGAGTCAAATTCACGCGCGAATTTGCTCGGTACACTCGGAGAGTGTGCGCCGTTAATGTAAAAAAAAAAAAAAGAAAAAAAAGACAAAGCAAAAAAAGTTAAAAAGGATGAGCGATCCACGTTGTGTTTAAAAATCAAGTTTAGCGTTGAGCGTCGCTCGCGTCCGGGAAGTTGGCCGGCGGAAAGCCATCTCCATCGTTAGCGCGACTTACCGCAGAGGAGGGCCAACAACCGAACGAAATCGCCGCTTGTCGGGGATAAACAACGTCGGGTGTAGTCGGTATCGTTGAACAGTAAGGATTTAACTTATAGCTTCCTTTGTACAAAAAGAATGGACGGAGGAAAAGACGACTCGATCTGCTCTCCGTGCTCTCTCTCTCTTAATTACACTTGCCCTTTTAGTTCTTTACTTTCCACGAGTTTCGGCCGCGACGACGACTGAAGACGATTAAACGCCGGCCACACGGCGCGGCGGGCCACACGTAAACTCGTGCATATTGTACATATCGCAACTGACGTGGCGATCACAGCTACCTCGTAGCGCGACGAAGGCTCTCTCCTCCGAGGAAACTTACCGTGCGCGAGCGCCGCTTCAGTGTACGTTCTCTCGCATATATAAACGATCGCCGGAATACCGCGGATATCAGGATATCGCGAGATTGCCGACAGCATGTTTCTTTCTTATGTGTACATTTGGCGTGATGAGATGGAGAGAAAGTGAGAGAGTGAGAAAGAGAGAAAGAGAAAAAGTATCGTTATTAAAGAGTTTACCTGTTTATCCCCCTTCCCTCCCCGATACAATCCCGCCCCGCTGATCCCCCATCTCGTCCGTGTCCCCATTTCCCGCACCTTCCTTTTGCAATCGCGACAGATATATCCCGGAAATATTTTTACATTTTAAGCGTTACATTTGGATCGAAGGTGTTGCCGATTTTTCGTAATTACAATAGTCTTCTACCGCGCACGCGGAAGAGAGGGGATACCGTAGAGATTAGCGAAACACGGAGCGAGTATAAAAATAGTCTATTATATGTATGTATGTATATGCGTGCACGTATATAATATATACATACATGTATATACACATATTACATATATACATGCAACATGCGAGTAAATGGTTATACTGGTATATTATTATGCGGAAGTATCGAGTAGCACAAGAATTTTAGATTAATATTTGTATGTCGTAGCCTGTATACATTGTATATATAAGATACAGAGTGTTTCCCGGTTTACGTATCACGTTAAAATGATGGTACCTATTAGAAGCATGGCATACTTCGAAGTTCGTTACCGTGAAAATTTAGCAGAGA